CCTCCCTGCCTCCCTGCCTCCCTGCCTCCCTGCCTCTCTGCCTCCCTGCCTCCCTGCCTCTCTGCCTCCCTGCCTCCCTGCCTCCCTGCCTCCCTCTCACCCCGTTTCCTGCTCCAGCCTGTGATTCCCAAGTCTGCAACCCCAGTCAAGACCCATCTCCTGAGCCCTCTACCACCAGGTGCCTCAGCTCCAGGTCCCAAACTAAACTCCCTGCACACTTGCCTCCCACGCTGGGCTCCCCTCTCAGGGAATGGGGCGTGGGGCCTTAGTTACCTGAGCCATAAATCTGGGTCAGGGCCCTCTTTCCCCTCTCATCATGCATCTGGCCCTGCTGTTGCCCTGGAAGATCCCTGTACCTGGTCCGGTCCTTGCCTCTTTCCTGTCCATCCCCTGGTCTGGGTTACCTCCCTTCCTTGTCAGAATGTCCATGGCAGCTGGGACCCCCAACTCCTGGCCCACTTGAGACTCAGGGGGCCACGGCACTCCCTATCCTTCCAAGGCCCCCAATGTCTTCCCATCAAAGCCTCGGCTTCCAAGCTGCACCACGGGGGCCTTGGGGGCCCTGCTCTCCAGTCCAGCTCTGCCACGTGTGGTACCCCAAACCTCTCGTGCCCATCACAGCCCCTGCCCTCCACCCTGCGGCTCCCTTAGCCTTGGATGCCCTTCCCAACACACATCCCTCCTCTCCGGGCAGACTCCATGCTGGTCCTTTCTCCAGGGCCCCTCCCCTGAGGCCTATTGGGAGGCACCACAGCACAACCCCAGTAGTGGCTGATTTTGAGTCTATGAGCTCCCTGGGAACATGGCTGGGTCTGTCGACTTCGGTGTCATAAGTGAGCCAGGCATGGCACCTTGGCATGGCTCTGCCAGTGCACATGGAGGAGTAGAGGAGACGTGGGTATGGAGAGGATCTGGGGAGTGAGTGGGCCTGGGTGCAAGTGGATGGGCTTGGAGGCTGCTGTGAGGTGTGTGGGTATGGACGTGAGGGAGGGTGGGGCTGTGAGTGTGTGTGTGTGTGCACACATGCAGAGGTGGGGGGAGTGTGTGGGTGTGGAATGGGGGTGTGGGTGTTTGGGGAGTGACTGTGCATGCGCAGCTGTGCAGAAGTTGGGGGAGTGTTATGCTGTGAGGGGGTGAGGAGGGTGTGGGTGTGAAGTAGGGTGTGAGGGGGTGTGACCATGCAGAAGGCATCTGAGCTTGTGGGAAACACGGCTGAGGGCTGGGTGCTGCCCTGTTTCCTGGTGAGCTCTAGCTGGGCCAGGCCTGGCTGAGAGGGGGCAGCAGGGCAGGACCACCTGGGTAGCCCCATCCTGAGGTGCCACTGGCTTCACTCCCCACAGCTGGAGGCCCTGAACCAGTCCATTAACATCGAGCAGTCCCAGTCAGACCGGAGCAAGCGGCCCTTCAACCCGGTCACGTGAGTGTTTGACCCTGTTGGGGGTGGTACCTAGAAGGACCCACACTAAAGCTGGTTTGGGAATGGAGGGGCCAGGGAGGCACCCAGGGTGTCCGCCTTGCCTACGTTGCTGGCCTGGGTGCCCCTGAGCGGCGTGGCTCTTGCAGCCTCCCTCCATGCCCCCTGAGCACCCTGCCTCTCCTCTGCAGGGTCAATCTGCCCCCTGAGCAGGTCACGAAGGTGACTGTGGGGCGGCTGCACTTCAGCGAGACCACTGCTAACAACATGCGTAAGAAGGGCAAGCCCAACCCTGACCAGAGGTGAGCAGGTGGGAGCCTGCCCCGAGCCCTCCATTTCTGAGGCAGGAAGACACTGCCCTGTGTGGCACACCAGGCACACAGCCCTACAGGCTGAGCCATTTCATAGATGAGACACCTGAGATTTGGAGCCCTTCATTGACTTAAGGGTGGGAAGGGCAGAAGCCTGGCTTCTGTGTTGAGAAACAGCCCTGGCTTCTTGCTGTGGGCCCTGGGGAATTTCTGCCCCCTGGTGGAGGCTCGGGTTCCTCCTCTGTAGGATGGGGTGAGATGAACATGCATCTGGCCAGGGAAAGGGTAGGCCAGCCCTGGGGAGGGGGCAGGCCCTGAGTACTTCTGAGACCCCTGTGTGTCCCAGGTACTTCATGCTGGTCGTGGCCCTCCAGGCCCACGCACAGAACCAGAACTACACGCTGGCTGCCCAGATCTCAGAGCGCATCATCGTGCGGGTGAGGGCCACCTCCTCCCAGGGCGTAGACAGCCCTCCCTAGGGCTGGGAGAAACAGCAAGCAGAAGTACCCGGGTCCTGAGAGTCAAGAGTGGGCATGCTCATCCTGCTAGGCACTGGCTGTGTGGCCTTGGGCAAGGCTCCCACCCTCTCTGGGCTGCAGGGTCTCCACAGTAAAGCAGGGAGGTGGACAAAGACCTGGTAGCTTCTGGGATCCCACAAGTGATAAAAAGTCATAATGGGAGGGACAGTTCAAGTTGGGCTTGGTGCAGTGAGAAGCCCTGGCTGGAAGGGGAGGGGCTGCTGTGGAGTTTCCCCTGCTCCCAGGGCCCTGCAGGTCCCCTCCCTATCCCCCAGGACTGATCCAGCCCCAACTCGCGGTAGGCCTCCAACCCAGGCCAGTTCGAGAGCGACAGCGATGTGTTGTGGCAGCGGGCACAGGTGCCCGACACCGTCTTCCACCACGGCCGCGTGGGCATCAACACAGACCGGCCGGACGAGGCGCTGGTTGTGCACGGGAATGTCAAGGTCATGGGCTCACTTATGCACCCCTCCGACCTGCGCGCCAAGGAACACGTGCAGGAGGTGGGGACAGGGCTGTGGGGGCCGGGCGGGGCTAGAGGCTGGGGCGGGTCGCGGGGGCGGGGCTGCTGGGGAGGGGGCGTGACCACGCGGAAAGGCGGGGCTGCCGGGGAAGGAAGGCTGGCCTCGAATCCCGATCTAACGACTCCAGTAGTAGGATCTCCTCTCCACACTGCAGCCTCCAGGTTGCCGCCCTCCTGGGCTCCGGGGCCTGCTCCTGGACCGCCGCAGGAGGGGAGGGGTTCATTCCCGGGCCTGGCTCCCCGCAGGTGGACACCACTGAGCAATTGAAGAGGATCTCGCGCATGCGGCTGGTGCACTACAGATACAAGCCCGAGTTCGCCGCCAGCGCGGGCATCGAGGCCACTGCGCCAGAGACAGGTAGGGACCGGGCTGGCGCGGACTGGGGTCCGGGAACCCAGAAACCTCGGGTCTCAGTGACCTCGCCCCCTGTCACCTGGAAATCCTACTCCCAGAAACCCCTCCTCTTGACTCCTGGAACTGCGCCCCTGGGAATCATGCCTTCTAGAAGTCCCGCCCCTCAGACCTTGGAAAGTCGCACCTCTCCAGGTCCCCGGAACCTCGCCCCATTGTCAGTAGAAATCCGAGAATCGCGGCCCAGGGACCCTCGCCCTTCGCTAGATGAATCCTACCTTTAACCTGCCGGAATACTACCCACTCCCCCTGGGATCCTTACCCCCAGGAATCCGCCCCACACCAGCCCGGGAACCTTACACCTGAGCCCTGGAATTGCAATTCTGTGAACACTTGTTCGGGGATCCCCCTGCTCCAGGGCTCCTTGGAATCCAAATCTCTGGGTTCCAGAACTTTACCCTCTCCAGTCCTGCCCTTTCCCACCCCCCCCATCTTTGGCTTGTCCCCCACCTCCAGGTGTCATCGCTCAGGAGGTGAAGGAGATCTTGCCTGAGGCTGTGAAAGACACCGGAGACATGGTCTTTGCCAATGGGAAAACCATAGAGAACTTCCTGGTGGTGAACAAGGTCTGTGGGTGAGGCAATGGGAAGGAGCCCAGAGGCAAGGGGGGAGCCAGCTGGGGGACACTTATCACCTCCATAGATACTGGGGGGGGCACTGCAGGAGCAACCTCAGCTCTCAAGCTGCTTCCAGAGTGCCCTCTGCACCCCACAGGGAAGGGGTGAGTGTTCAAGGAGATGAGTGGGTAGGGATTTGGCCCCTGGAGGCTGTGTGATCAAGGGCAAGAGAAACCCTGTGGAGGGCCATGGCCTTCCACCCCCAGTAAAATGAGGGCAGTAATAGAACTGCAAAGACATCCTCGTATGGTTACCTCCACGCTGAAATACGTGATTTCTTGTGAGGATGACTTTTGTCCTGTCCTGAGTCTGGGCGCCAAGGAGGCATGTAATGGGTCTCCACCCCAGTTGAATAGTGAAATGCTGACATCTGAGACAGCAGTCATCAGAGGGGGCAGATCCCGGGGCTGCAGCCTTCAGGCTTAGGGGAGGAGAGCTCTGGCAGGGAGTGGGGAGGGCCATTCAGGCAGGTGGGACAGCCCAGGTGAAGGTGCAAAGGTGGGGGTGTTGCTTGGAGACAGACACAGGAGCTGTGGGTGCTGAGGCTGGACTGGAGGGGCCCGTCCAGGTAGGGAGGCTTTGAGGGCCTCCCAGTGGCCAAGGACAGTGGCCGCCCCTCCTGCCCCCTGAGGTCTGACAGTCTGGGGCTCCCAGGCCTGACTGGGCCCTCTGTGTTGGCCTATGGCCCATGGCAGGAGCGCATCTTCATGGAGAACGTGGGGGCTGTGAAGGAGTTGTGCAAGCTGACGGACAACCTGGAGACGCGCATTGATGAGCTGGAGCGCTGGAGCCACAAGCTGGCCAAGCTGCGGCGGCTCGACAGCCTCAAATCCACCGGCAGCTCGGGCGCCTTCAGGTAGGGGTGCGGGGTGGGGGAAGGTGAGACCCTTCTTCCCGGGGACACCCCTGATCCTGGCCCTCTTGCTGCAGTCATGCAGGGAGCCAGTTCAGCCGGGCAGGCAGTGTCCCCCACAAGAAGAGGCCCCCCAAGGTGGCCAGCAAGGTAAGGGTGAGCAGGCATGGCAGGTGGGTTGGATGGGGAGTTCCCCACCCCTTGTGGCCTCCCTTTCCGGGTTGCAGTTCTCCAGTCTCACGGCCTCTGGTGCTTCCCTCTCCTTGTGACTCTGTAGCCCTCCTAGTCCCCAGTTTCTCTTTCTTCTCCCTTTGCCCCCTGGGGGAATGGGGCACCCCCTTAAGCACCACCCCCCGCCCGACCTCCAGCAGAGCCCACTGCAGGCAGCCTCAGCCTGGCCCTCTTTGTATTTGCACTTTTCCTCTTGGTCCTCAGTCATCGTCCGTGGTTCCGGACCAGGCCTGCATCAGCCAGCGCTTCCTGCAGGGAACCATCATTGCCCTGGTGGTGGTCATGGCCTTCAGGTGACTTGTCCCCTGGGCTCTCAGGGTGGCTGACTAGGGGAGTGGAGCTACCCAGTGGAGTCAGCTGCCCATGGGCTCAGGCCTAGGGGAAGAGGAGGATGTAGCTTGGGAGATCAGGCAGCTGAGGTCTCAGTGAGGTGGGCCTTTCTGCCTCCTCCCCTCTGGGGTGACCCATTTTGCAGGCATCACCTGGGAGCCCAGCTTCAGGAGCAAGGACCACAGCCTTGTCCTGGAGAGAGGGCACTGGCTGGTGGCTCCAGCTCTAACGGTCACCCTTTTCTGTGGCTCCAGCGTGGTGTCCATGTCCACACTGTACGTGCTGAGCCTGCGCACAGAGGAGGACCTGGTAGACACTGACGGGTAGGTTCCTGGATGCCACGCCAAGCCTCCAGGCCAGGTGGGGCTTTGGTGGGCAGGCCCAGGTCAGAGAGCCATGAGACTGTCTTCTCTAAAGGAGTTCATCCTTAGCCTCTCAGCCTGCTGGGGTGCTGTGGGGGTCCAGGGAGGGCCTCCTTGGAGGGTGGGCAGCCTTTGCCAGTCCCTGCTGACGCCGATGTTTGTGTCTGGCCTGTTTAGTGCCCCTGCAGGTAGCTGGGCCTGCCAGTCAGGGCTGTCTGAGGGGCTGGGGTTGGAACATGGGGTAGGCAGAAGGAGGGTCAGGGCAGGGCCTTGGGCTCTGTGAGCCCACTGTCACCCCCAGCTCCTGGGGCCACCTCTGACTGTGTCTTCTCTTCTCTCTTCCCCTTTGCCTGTCTCACCCTTTGCCTCTTTGCTGCCCCTTAGCTCTTTTGCCGTGTCCACTTCCTGTCTCCTGGCCCTGCTCCGGCCCCAGCCCCCTGGGGGGAGTGAGGCCTTGTGCCCATGGTACGTGCTGACCGGCACCCCTCTCCTCTGGCTCCTGCTGCCCCTCTTCCTGCCTCCCTCCCCTCCCTCTCTACCTTCTCCTGCCCTCCTGCCTCTCCAGGACTGCCAGGCCCTCTCCCCTCAGGCTCTCCCAGCCCCTCTGAGCTCAGCTCATCCTTCCCCAGCAGGTCCAGCCAGAGCTTTGGGACCACGCAGCTCCGACAGTCCCCCATAACCACTGGGCTACCAGGCATACAGCCCACTTTGCTGCTGGGTGCGTGTCTGGGCAGGTCTGGGGTGGGACGGGGAGGTTGCTATGTTCTCTCTTGGGGGCTCCTCCGGCTCACACAGCCTCTGGCCTCCTCAGTGACCACCGGCCTCACCAGCTCGGCCCCAGGTTCTGCCGTCCGCACCCTGGACCTATGTTCCAGCCACCCCTGCCCTGTCGTCTGCTGTTCCTCACCCACCACCAACCCTACCACTGGTCCTAGTCTTGGCCCCAGCTTTAACCCTGGCCATGTTCTCAGCCCAAGTCCCAGCCCCAGCACCAACCGTTCAGGTAAGGCTTTCTCTGGGCTGGGGCTTGGGGCAAGGGCTACCTGAGTAGAGAGAAAGGCCCAAATACTCATTGGTGGGAGGGTCTCCTGGAGCCCAGAAAGGGGCTCTGGACAATGACTGGGAAGTTCCCCTGAGAGGACCAAGAGACACATGGGGTTCACTCAGTCTTATGGGGCCCTAGAGACAGCTGGACAGGAAGCAGCCAGCTCCCTGCTTCTCAGCCTGTCCCTGGTTCTATCCACAGGCCCCAGCCAGATGGCCCTTCTGCCAGTCACCAACATCAGAGCCAAGTCCTGGGGTCTTTCAGTCAATGGCATTGGCCACTCCAAGCATCACAAGAGCCTGGAGCCTCTGGCCAGCCCTGCAGTCCCCTTCCCTGGGGGGCTGGGCAAAGCCAAGAACAGTCCCAGCCTTGGTTTCCATGGCCGGGCCCGCCGAGGGGCCCCCCAGTCCAGCGTGGGCCCTGCTCAGCCCACCTGGGCCCAGGGCCAGTCAGGTACTTGCTGCACCCCTGATAATACCCAGCCCAGCCTGGCAAGGCTCATTGGCCAGGGCCCACCTCAGCCCAGTCATGTGACTGTCTGGGTTCAGACTTGTCGGTCAGTAGACGTTTGCTGAGCATAGAGTAAGGGTCAGGAATCAGGCCCGCAGCCTTACATAAATCATCTCATTTAGTCCTCACAGCACTCCTGCAAGAAAGGAATTGTTGTTCCTATTGTTCAGCTGAAGAAATGGGATGGAGACTAAGGTGAAGTGACCTGCCCAGGGTTATACAGCCCCTCTGAGGCGGGGCTTATATTTGATCCCGAGCCTGATGCCTCCTTCACCATGCCAACACCAGGAGGATGCTATACCGGTTCTCGCCTATTATTTCCCAAACCTCATATCTTTGGTTTTAACAAAGCTACAGAACCTTTTATTCAGTTTTCAAACTGGGTTCCTCTGAGGCACCCTGGGGGCTGCCCTGGGGGTTGAAGGGGAGGCTGGGAGGCTTCCTGGCTTCAACCAGGCAGCTCTGCTCTCACTAACTTTCATTTGATGGGCTTTGTGGCTTCAAGAAAAAGAAACCCTGGAACATAATGTGGCTTACAGAGATGGAAATTCAAAGTGATGGGGGAACCCCATGGGGGAGATGTTTACCAGGCACCCATTTACTGAGCTGCCTGCCACTCTGTGGCCGGCTCTGTACAGGGGACTGGGGGTGATGAAGACGGATACGCTCCTGTCCCCAAAGACCTCACAGAGATGAAAACACAGCAGTGTGATGAGGCTCTGAGGGGACGTGCCGGTAGCTTTGGGACTGGGGAGGACACTTAATCTGGACACAGGTGGGGAGGATCAGGGAAAACTTCTCTGGAGTTGGTGACATTTGAGCTGACTCTTTAAAGGATCTTTGGAATTTGCCCAGAAGGGATGTGGGAAGGGCACCTTCCATCTCGTCTGTATCTGATACCTGTCCTGGCCACACAGGGTGTCCTGGATCCTGTTGGGGTCCTTGGGTCCCTGGGTCATGCCTCAGAGCTGAAAACATACCAGGTCCAGCAAACGTTGAGTGGCCCCAGCTTCCCCCTTCCTGGGTGGATAGTCAGGCAGCAGCAAGACTGTACGTGAACTGGATGAGCAAGAAGGCCTGTCTCCCCATCTGGCTTGTCACACTTCAGTCTCACCCCTACCCAGCCAGCCAGCCTGCAGTGGGTCTGTTCAGGGAGGCTGCGAGGAGCAGCGTGCTGGTAGCGGTGTAATCATCGGCCTCGGGGCGGGGGGACCCTGATTTGTGTGATGCTGTCACAACTGCCGATTTCAAGCTACCAGTGTAACTGATGTTTCTGAACCCAGAATTGGGAGAGATGCCCGCAGTCAGGAACGGAGGCCTTGAGCGGGCTCCTGCATACCTGGCAAGGGATGTGAAGACCCATCCCTCCTACTGGGTGTTTCAGTTCTTTTGAGGAGGCAGATGTCAGGTTCATGGGAACTGGGTAGTCCTAGGGCTGCTGAGGGAACGGTGTAGTGTGATTCTGGCCATTGTGGAGGTCTGGAAAAAAATAACTTGGAACTTATTCATACTAAGGTGTGAGTGACTGATCCAAGTCTGGCAAGGAAAGACTTGCCTGCTTCTCACTTGTGTCCTGCCTTGTCACCTTACTCCTGCCCCAACAGCCTCTCTCCTTGCAGAGCCAGTGCCCTCCCTGACCTCCATCCAGGTGCTGGAGAATTCGATGCCCATCACCTCCCAGTACTGTGCTCCAGGGGATGCCTGCAGGTGGGCTGGGCTCCCTCCCTTCACCCAGGGAGGTCCCTTCAGGTGACATGAGCCCAGGTGGTACAGATTGCCCAGAACTTGCCCCCTCAGTGAGAAGCCTCTCCCATAAGGCAGGGCAGCCCCTTTCCAGGCCTCTGCAGGGCTCCAGTACAGATTGGGGGCTGAGGAGTCCACGGGTGGGGGGTGGTGGCAGGGTGCCCTCAGGCTAAGGTGCCAGTTTTGCCCCTGCAGGCCTGGGAACTTCACCTACCACATCCCTGTCAGCAACGGCACCCCACTGCACCTCAGCCTGACTCTGCAGATGAAGTGAGTGCCAGCACGGGGAAGTGGGAGGCAGGAGGGGAGCCAGGGAGAATCTCCTGCAGAGCCTCAGAACAGCCAAGTCTGAGGATAGCTGGAGAGTTTCTAGTATTTCCTACATGGTGGGATGAGTGCTGACTTCATTGCCTGCTTCGTGGTTAATTGGCTAAATGACCTGATCTCATGGCCTGAGGACCACGTGGGATGGTCGATGGGAAAGGTTTTGTTCGAGGGCCCTGGTTATTATGTGGTGTTTCAGGCTGGGTGGAGATTCAGAGGCAGGCTGGCTGGAAGGGGGCTGAGGTTGAGGGACTCCAAAACCTCATTTCTCTGCTATCTGGGCCTGTCTCCAGTTCCTCCTCCCCCGTGTCTGTGATGCTGTGCAGCCTGAGGTCAAAGGAGGAGCCGTGTGAGGAAGGGAGCCTTCCACAGAGTCTCCACACCCACCAGGACACCCAGGTAGGTGGGACTGGGAAGCTGTGGGCTGGCCAGGCCTGAGCTGCTTCTCTCCTGGCACAACTGGGCCCCCAAATGGACAAGGAGCAGGAGCTGGAGTTACAGAGTGAAGCCATCTCCACAAGGGACACTCTGGGGCCTGGGCCTCTGTGTCCCAGGGAGGGGCACACGTGCCCGTGTTTGTTCCTTTCACTCTGCTGAGCATCTCCTGGCCCTGCCATGCTGGAGACCTGGGGAAGAAAGCAGATCACAGGGGCTAATGTGGAAGAGTGCAATGATGGAAACAGGTGGGTGTCTGGAAGCCCATGGCAGGGAGGGCTGTGGCTCACTGGAGGTGTCTGCAGAAGCAGGAAGGAGCTGACCTCATGCTCAGGTTGGGGAAGTGGCACAGCTAGATGTGCAGCATTACAGGACCCCTCAGGCTCCATGTTTGGCCACCTCTTCTGGGAGAACTGGATGGCCAGCTCCTCCCTGGCCAAGTAACCGGAAGTTATAGCTGTCCCTGGGGCCGATGGACCCCCAGTTTCTCCTTGGGCCTAAGAGGCCATGGGAGAAGACTCTCAGGTCAAATTAAGGGAAGTAGTGATTATTTTTTCTCGCCCATTCATGTGTTTACTCAGAAAATATTGACTGGGGCCCCATCTGTCCCAGGCCCTGTGCTGGGTGGGCCCAGCTGCAGGGGAGAGAGGTGGAACAGAGACAGGTTTTGATTTCTAAGAACAAACTCTATAGTGAGGGAGAAAAGACGTACAGGAAGCTCCTGCAACAGAGGAGGGGGTGCTTCTCGGGGAGGCCCGAGCCCTGTGGCCCTGCAGAAGAGCCAGTGTCTGAGAGAGACGGAGAGCCCAGCTAGACATGCAGCAGACATGGTGCTTGGGCCTGAAACCACATCACAGACGCACAGCCAAAGCCTCAGGTAGATGGGCAGGCTGCATGCCACCCTGAGGGAGACAGCCAGACAGACCTGGGTTTGAATCCCAGCTGTGTGATTTTGCCACACTGTGATTTTTAGGCAAGTGGCTCAGTTTCCTCATCCAGAAGATGGGGCTAGTAGCAGCACTGTGTCATTGGATTGTCCTGAGGATGGGGCTAATGAAATACTTTGATGTGCCCAGAGCATAGCGGGTGAGGGAACCCAGCACAACAGGACTGGGAAGGAGGCAGGGGCCAGGCGGAGGTGGCCGTGGACCTGCCAGTCCCGGGCACAGTCTGCATGAAGTAGCTGCCATTGCTCCTTCTGCCAAAGCAGAACATGCTCCTTCCCATTTCTTCAAAGTTCTCTGCTTTTTTCCTTTATAAAACTCCCCACAGACCCCAGAACTGTGACGGCTGTGGTGAGAGATGCTGGTTGGGATAAGGGCAGCCGTCTGTCCTGACCCGTCTCTCTTCTCTCCAGGGCACCTCTCACCAGTGGCCAATAACCATCCTGTCCTTCCGCGAATTCACCTACCACTTCCGGGTGGCACTGCTGGTGAGCAGGGGCATCCCACCTACCCCGGAGGTCTGGGTACCCGTCTGCGACGTGGGGCTTGAGGAATGGGGGATTTGCACAGTATGTGGTAGCACTGGGGGCACAGTGTTAAGCAACGTCAGCAGGGAGTGCCGTCTGTCTCGCACCCCCAGAGCTGCCTCACCTTCCCACTGCCCTTCCACCCAGGGTCAGGCCAACTGCAGTTCGGAGGCTCTCGTCCAGCCAGCCACAGACTACTACTTCCACTTCTACCGCCTGTGTAACTGAGCTGCCCTCCTGAGGCAGCACCGCACCAGGGACTGGGGTGCCCAGGCACCCCCCAATACTGGATGCAATGGTGTTACACTGGAGCCTGCTGTAGGCCAGCTCTGCTGTTCACTGGCCCTACCCAAGACTGGTGAAACTGGAAGTCTTCACACTGGAGTTACTGTTCCAGCTGGTCGCCCCTCACAGCACAGAGGGAAGCTGAGAGCCGGAGACTTCCTGGGCCTTCCTGCCTGCCACCCCCTAGGGGCCAGGACAGGACCAGTTTACCTCTTTCCAGATATGGTGGTTGGAGGGCTGGTTCAGGTACCCTGGAGGGAAGGGGAAGCCTGTGGCCCTGATTTGTTCAGAGCCCACTCTCCCCTGCCTCCCCTTTTGAGACTGGAGCCAACCCTCTTGGAGAGAGGACCTGCCCACCTTTGAGATCAGCAGGGGACTTGGATCCAGCCCTAAGAGACTTGGGTGGACTCCCATGAGTCAATGGAGGGCAGACGGCTCTCCCCCTTAAAGCTGTTCCCTGGGGGATGGCTTGGTAGTGGACTTTCTGGGGTTTGCCTGTTACGCCAGACTCGGATTTCTAAGCTTTAAGTGTGGCCCAGGAGGTTTCTTCTCCCTGGGAGAGCTTGGCTCCCAAGAAGTCCCAGGGCAGCCAAGGCCAGCCCTGGATGGGTTGGAGAAACTGACTTTGTGCCTTAAGTCTACTCAGTGCCTGATGAAGCCACCCTCAGCCCTTCACAGGCCTGAACCAGTAGGGGCCAGTGGGCCAGGTAAGCCCTAGAGCCTTGAACCAGGAATATCCGGGAAGAGGAAATTTCCTTTTGAGCGCCCAGATGGTGTTGCAGCTTCATTGCCTGCGTTCCTGGGAGCGTCCAGAGCTCACGGTGATCAGTGACCACATCATTCTCTCTGAGCAGAGGAGCAGGAATCCCTCAAGCAGCAGCCTGGTCTTGGCTGGTGGGCAGATGCAAATAGCTTTTGCTGTTATTAATGAAGTAATTACTAAATGCACTTAAACCAGGGCAGGAAGGAGTGGAAGGATGGAGCTAGAAAGCTCCGAGTGGGCCAGAGCAGGGGTGTGACACTTGCAAAGACAGGGCTCTGACTCTGATCCCTCCCAGGGAGCCTCAGACACCCATCCCACTCCCAACCACCAAGACCCTGGGTTAGGGAAGAAGTTGTATCTTAAGTGCCAACTTCAAGTTTCTTAGTGGTGCCTGGTACATTCTGAGGCTACATCCAGGCTCATGGAAGGAGTGTGGTATTCATTTAGCCATGTCTGCCATGGGTCCAGAAATGGGAAAGGGAATTGCTGTCCTTGCCCCGTGGTATGCTGCCACCTCTTTGGGAAACAGGCCTTGCCCCTGTCCCACCACTCCTTCTCAGCTTTGAATGGGAGGCCTTTCTATAGTGGAGCCGAGTCCTTGAAGCCTATGAACTGCAGGCCCCCTTTTGCCACTATCTCAAAGCACTTGTCCTCAGGATAGGGAACAGCAGGGGGATGCAGGAATAGCAGGGATAGCTTCCTCCCAGCCCCTCCCCAATTTGGTTCCGCTGACATAGGAATTTTATGATTCCCATACCATGCAGGGGCTGAGCCTTCTTTAGGATGACTTTGTTCTCCCTCCCACTGGGGGAGTCCTCCCTATGCCTTAAAACTGCCGAGCCCCACTCCATGTAATAGGATTCCTGGGCTTCCTCAACGGGACTGCGGCCCCTCAGTCCTTAACTGGAAAGTGACCGTCCACTGCCCCCTGGAGCCCATCTGGACACAGCACAGTCCCAAACCTGTTAGCAGCTGGCTCTGTTTCCATGGCTGGGGAGGGGTTCCTCAGTGCAGGAGTTGGGGCCAGGCTGGGGCTCCGAGCTGCTTGAGGGGGTCAACCTTGGACCAAAGTTGCCTTAAGCCTGTGGTAAAAGGGCTTCAGGGAAGGTCAGTGGGCCACCTGCTAGAAGCTGCCAGCTGCCCAGCTGGCAATGGTGTGTCTTGGCCCCATCCCTGCCCTGGGGTCCAGCAGGTCATCCCTCCCTTCTCCTCTCTCCTTTGGTGTTTGTTCCTGTAGCCACTGGGCTAATCTCCCCCTAGCTTCAAGCTGTACATAGGGCCTCCCACTGCAAATCCTCCTGCCCATTCTGTGCCCCCTTAGAAGCCTGCGTGTGCATAGAGCGCCCCCTACCTTCCAGTTAACTCCCAGTTCTCCCTGAGCTTGGTATTTATCGTGTGCCAACTCTGACTCTGAGGTGGGCAGTGAGGGAAGCAGCCCCCGGCCTGCTTGCTTCCTGTCCCCGAAATGTTCTTTTCTTCTGAAGTAAATATACATATATAAATAAATGTATAAATACTGCTTTGTATCTGAGCTTGCCTCCTTGTCTCTTCTTGGGATTGGTGGGAGAGGAGTCACCTATGAGGCGAGGGCCAACTGGAATTCAAAGTTCTTCCTGAGAAGCCTGGAATCTCTGAGCTCCTGAGCCAGAGGGCCAAATGGATGCTTCATACCCCTTATCCTCTTAGCTTCATACTGGAGTTAGGAGTGGATTCAGCAGCCCCTCCCATGGCCACACCTTCCCCTCCCGCACACCCGCTGCTGCCCACCTGTGTTAAAAGTAGCCACCGAGGGGAAAAGCCTTCTTAGGGGGACAAGCCGAGCCTGGTGAGGATGCCCCAGCACAGAGAAGGGTGGCTATGTTTATGGCAGGGACTGGCCTAGGGCAGAAAGGACTGATGCGGGTTCCTAGAGAAGTCTGTCCTAGAAACAACAGAAAAGGGTAGGCCCAGACCCTTCCTATCCTCAAGTGAGCCTTAAATTCCAATGACAAAACACCCGTGCCACACAAATCTCATCCCCCTGAAGTAGATCAGCAGCAGGAACTGCGAAAGGCAGATGAGAAATGGGAAAGGGAAGAGAATGGGGAAGGAATGTAGGTCCCAGCACCCCGCCACCCCCGCAGAATGGACCACAGACAGAACTGCCATACATCTGCCTTTATTATGAGCAGCAGGTGGGACACTTCCAGCAACAGTAAAAAAAAAAGTAATTTACAAAAGCAGGGGTTCAGTGAAGCCATCTGGTTGTTACCTAAAAGAGGAGAGGGGTATCAAAATGAGACCAACAGCCCTTCTTTCTACCTTCTCTCCCTGCACCCCTGTGCTCCTGGGGCAAAGGCTGTCGAGCACATGCCTTTGAGGATGAGCCACCAGAGCTGATTCCCAGTGGCCTGTTTGATGGATTGTCTGCAGCAAGTTTTAAGCCCCGGATCTTGACCCCCTTTCAGCCAGCCAACTTCCCAGCAGCCTCTCCAAGTCACTGGGGTCTGACTTCTAAGAGCATAAATGTACAACCATGGGAAGCCTGCGTTCACACTCCTACGTGGTACATCCCAAAGGCAGATCGAGGCCTTGGGCCATGTGAGCTCGGAATTGACAAAGTCACATTTGGCTCAAGTCTGTATGAGGGGCAGGGAAAGAGGCACAAATGTCTAGTGTCCCTACCCATTCCACTGAGTCTGTCTCCATCAACCAAGGGGTCATGCTGGCAAGAGCTTTAAGGACCCTGCTGACCTGCCTATGGGGAGGCTTCCCTGGCTCATGCGTCCATCCCATTGCAGCTCTTACCCTTGGGCGCTCACACGTAGATGCCAACCCAGAGCAGCAGGAAAAGGACTCCAAAGCCCATGAAGAGTGAGGCCACCAAAGAGATGAGGAGCTCCTTATAGATATCACGAGTGTACTTGGTAGAGGTGACCTCGTAACTGGGCACAGCAGTTAAGGCAAAGTGAAGGGATGGACTGTGGAGTGCAGAGAGCCCAGCCAGTGGCACTCTGAGGAGAAAGGTATTGGCTCAATGCCTTCTGGGAGGCATATCCAGCCCAGAGCAGCCAGGCAGAGGGGCCTAAGAGATGCTTTGGACTCTGGTGCTCCACTGCCATGAAGAAAATAAGACCCAGAGGAGTTAGGTCACTTGCCCCACATCACATAGCTCATGAGGGCCGGAGCTGGGACTATCCCTCAGACCTCCCGACACCTGAGTGCAGCCTTCTTTATACCACCTTTCCAACTGTAGCACCCCTATTCCCCACCTCCACTCCAGCCAGGCCCCCTCCCTGCTCACTGTCCTGAAAATCCAAAGGACAAACTGAGTTCACCTGAACTTCGGAAATAAGGCCATAACCTGCTCCTGGGCATAACCAGCCCTCCTCCCCTCCTTACCTTCTCCCAGCCCCGATCCAATGTACAAAACTGGCGAGGTCCATGTACTTAGCATGGTTTCTCCCTTAGCCTCCCAAATCACTAATCACTGGTCCTCTGGCTGCTCAGTGAAAGGATACACGAAGAACCAGGCGGTGAAGAACATGCCGATGGCCAAAAGCACCACGGTCAGATGGGGGAAGACAGCCGGGTTCACTGGGCTGGTGTATCTGCTCATGGCCTCGAGCTCCTAGGGGAAGGCAAGAGATCAGAGTTATCAAAGAATTCCATGATTTCAGCCTGGAGAGAACATGGGGTTATCAAGGAGCCTGGTGCTGCTGTGAAACAGAGGCTGATTTTGGCCTGGAAATGTAGCTGCAGATCAATGGTCCTTATCATTTTCTGAGGCCAATGATCTGACCACTATGAATATGTGACTAAAGGTACGAACTCTCTGCCTGAGAAAAACCACATACAAGAAAAAGTTTGCCTACAATTTCTGGAGCTTTGCGGACCAGTGTCTGTAGACACCAAGCTGAGAACGCCTGCTATAAGTCACTGGTGGTACCCAGATCTCAATTTTTTTTTTTTTTTTTTGACGGAGTCTCACTGTCACCCAGGCTGGAGGGCAGGGGCACGATTTCGGCTTACTGTAACCTCTGCCTCCTGGGTTCTAGAGATTCTCATACCTCGGCCTCTTGAGTAGCTGGGACTACAGGATTACAGGTGCGCGCCACCACACCTGGCTAATTTTTGTATTTTTACTAGAGATGTGTTTTGCTGTTGGCCAGGATGGTCTCAAACTCCTGACCTCAGGTGATCTGCCTGCCTCAGCCTCCTAAAGTAGTGAGATTACAGGTGTGAGTTGCCGCACGTAGCCTCAATTTCTTTCTTTTTTTTTTCAGACAGAGTCTGAGTGCAGTGGTACAAACTCGGCTCACTGCAAGCTCTGCCTTCTGGGTTCAAGTGATTCTCCTGCCTTAGCCTCCGGAGCAGCTGGGATTACAGGCGTGAACCACCATGCCCGGCTAATTTTTGGTATTTTTGGTAGACACTGGGTTCCACCATGCTGGCCAGGCTGGTCTCGGACTTCTGACCTCATGATCCGCCCGCCTCAGCTTCCCAAAGTGCTGGGATTACAGGCGTGAGCCACCGAGCCTGGCCCTCAATTTCTAATTCAGTATTTTCCTCACTACCTATACTATTATGGAATCTTGTGAGCTACAGGGAAGGTATTCAAGTTCTGGTTCTACTGAGTAATCTGAGTCTGAGTAAAGTGATTGTATTATCTATTTCACAGGACTGATGTATAAGAAAGATGATGAATCAAAACTCTAGTGCCTGGCAGGGAGGATTTTGCTCCATAGGTATTTGCTTCCTTCCTAAGGTTGTAGGGAACATGATGACATAATGCCTATGAAAGAGGGCTGTAAACGTAAAGATCTGTACAAATGTTAACTTCATTGTCACCCATCAGCCAAAGCTTCTAAAATCCAGAACATAACAACTCTAGAGAAGTAAACTGCCCCCATTGTTCTGAGACACTGGAATTCAATTCAGTAAACAATCACGGCCCCCTTCCCCCAAAATGATAAAGACAATCACTGCCATTTATTGAGCTTCCAATTACAGCCCCTCTGTTTGGCACTGGGAACACAAAGATGAATAGACATCATCCCAGAGCTAGATGCGCGTCTGACGGTGGTCACTAGGAGGCGCGGCCGCAAACAAAGGAGTCCATGGAACGTGTACAGAGGCTGTGGGCGCTCCTAGGAGAGTCTGGCCAAGTGCCTCAGAGTTGGAAGTGCCTCACCAAGAAACAACATTTGCCCAGGGCATTGTAGCATGGGCACGGGTTCGGCAGAAGAACTTTCCAGATAAAGATAACACACCACAGATAACAGATACACAAACTGGAAGGTATTCAAAATACGCCCCACGCCTCTCATTCTTAGAAATCGCGAGCTCAGAAACCTAAGGAGTTCATGACAAGGGGTTTCCCCCTTCCCCACCCTTCAGCCCAAGCCGGAGTTTCCAGGAGCGTCTAGCCCTCTGGATCTCTGGCGTCTGAGGAGAGAAGCGCGGTGTGGGTCAGACCCCGAGGGGTCTTCGCATCTCCGTCGGGAACTCCCCTTAACCCTCTCACCATTTTGCCCCGCGCAGGCTAATCTGCCGCTCCGCCACCGGAAGCACACGTCCGCAGGAGCAGGCGCCTAGCACAACCGGAAAAGGAAGTGCCTCCGGCGCAAGTGGCATTGGGGGACTTGTAGTCCTGCGATTTCGGGTGTAGCGGGAGCAGGGGCCTGCGGGGACCTGGTGTGGGTGGAGTAGGGACAAGCGGTGGAGAAGAGTACGCCACGGTCGCTGAGAGACTCTGTTCTCCCTGGAAGGACTGGTTGCCATGAGAGTAGCCGTCTGAGGGGACGCAGCCTGCACTACACTCCCCAAGAGGCTGTGCGTGGCGGGCAGGTCACGTGATGGGAGCGCGGGCTTTGGAAGGCGGCTGAGCGTCAGGCGACCCGCCGCTAAGCTGAGGAGGGAGATCGGGTTTAGGAACCGCCTGCCCGGGCCAACTCCGAACAAAGTTTTAGCTGCCGAGGCCTCGTGTCTCAAAGGCCAGGTGAGACCCCATGGGAAGCGCCTCCGGGAGCGACGGGGTCCGCTTGGCGCTGGGGCCGTGGGGAGCCGGGGTCTGGAGTGCGCGTGATATGCAGTCAAGCGGTCCGGCCACTTTTCCCGCTGTGAGCCGTGGGCCAGTCGCGTAAGCTCCGAGCCTCTCTTTCCTCCATTGTAGAAAGGCGGTAATAAGTTCCACCTTATGGGGTCGTGTTGTATTTTTCCTAAGACCTTGGACGAGAAAGAGTTCTGACACTTGAGTTGTTTAGCCCCTTTCCTGCCTGCCTGCCTGCCTGTCTGTGGGACGCCGCAAGGGGTCCAAGGGCTACACGGCCTGGTCCTCAGTCAACATTCGAGCAGGGCCGCCGGCTTGAGGCAAGAGCCGAAGGGTTGAACAGGCCTGGAGAGGGGACATTAGGGGTTTCCGTCTGTTGTCTCAGTTAACCCTGGTAGCAGCCCTGAGAGACAATCATGGTAATCGTTCTTCGTAAACCTCAGTGGCTTGGTAATGTCACACGGATGGAAAATGCCGCGCCTGGATTCAAGGCCAGAGCT